CACACCCTTCAAAGCAAGTAGTTATATAATGATAGCAATGTCTGTTTCTACTGAGATTAAAAAATAGAATTAAAACCAAAACTAACAACCCTTCTGCTAATTGCAAAAAACCCCACGTCTCCTCCCCATGTGCCCTAACACAACATGAAACTGAAATTACCTGCTTCCCTCAGGAACCCACTTATTTATGTTTAAAAGAAAATTTGGGAATAAAGAAACTTCCTAATAGAACAGTTGGGGTAAACACATGGACACTATATACACCGGAATAAATGAAGACTGGGCACACAGTTGCAACAGAGAATTTTTCTTGGCCGGTTGAAACCCATGATATGGTTTAATAAAAACCGGGTTACCTTTACATTTCTTCTCTTCTGTTTGAAAGGTCTGGGCACTTGGGACACTCTGATCGTTCACATCGTCATGGTCCAGGTGGAATATTGAGCTAGTCCACGTGGCCTGGATGAGATGTGGTGATGACTGTTCATTTTTCAATGTGCTGCGCCTCTCCGAATGGCTCTTCCTGTGCAGGCAGGCTTCAGACATTCCTACTAGCTTCCAGTCGTGTTCTCGGTCTGGACAGTGCTTCGGTTTGTCCCAGGCTGGAAGGCCATTTTCTGGAGGGTTGAAAAACACGAGCTGATGAGCTGTTGGCATTGTCAAGGTCTTGCTGAGATGCGGCTTTGGAAGGCAAGTTGTTGCTCAATTTTTGAGGGCTGACAGTCAGTATTCACATGCATCTCCACTTGAATGCAGTGATAAGGTGCAAAATTTGTCAGCCTTGGGCACACAGCCACCACAGTCAGATTGCCTGTCGGAGTAAATCAACACATTCCCCCTTATTTTTAGTGCCTAGAAAGACATTAGTTTTTCCGTGGGAAGGCTCTACTTTCTCCAGTCCTGCTTCCACAGCAATGGCCCAAGAGCAAGGGTACACCAATTTATGTGACTGTTAGATGACCACTTGAGGTCTTGAGGGTTAGGGCTGGCCGTGAACACTTTTCAGATCCTTAGGACATAAAACATCTAGGATTCAGCCTTATTTGACTTGGGTTTTATCACAGGCTGACCTGAGAGGCACCCTGTTACATAAGTGGGACATGTTCACGTGGCTACACTGAGAGTGACAACGCTGTTCTCTTTACCACCTTCTACCCCTGAGGGCCTTAAAGAAGGAGGCTGGATCTTCAAACAGAAATTTTGTAAATGGTTTCAATGTAGTCTCAAATTGGCAATGTGATCCGATGAAGGAAAGCAGATAATGCTTTAGTTGTGGGTGAATTAAGGGCCCTAAGGATAGACTGGTAAGTGCCAAAACTCTTCGGTTGAGGTACAGGCAGTTAATTTTTTATGTATATTATGTTGTTTTTCTGTTCAATTTATAGGGACTTGAAGGTCTGCCCTCCAGGAAATGGGAAAAAAAGGAAATATATAATGAAAACTTCCTTATGCTAACCTTCCCTGGTGGCAAATGTTACCTCCTTGAATATCTTTACAGTACATGGGTATAAAGTAGAGAGCAAAAATGAGCAAGCTGATAACATTTTGTAATTTTGTATTTGTATATGCATCCACATTATAAAACACAATCCATCTGGTCATCCGCATTTCCAGACATTCTTAGACTACTGTCTGTCAAAATGAGAAAAAACGTAATATAGAGTTCTACTTTTAAAGTGATCATATACACTGATTGACAGACTATAATTTATAAGTGAATTTTAAAGCTGAATTTAGCAAAAGATCGCAGATATCCATAGTAGGTTGGCAAGTCCATCCTGGTCCGTGCCTAGTACTGGGAATTTTAAGCTGTCTTTCAAATGTTTAAAATAAATTTTAAATTGCTTAACACAGGGTTAAAAATGGTTTCGGTTTCCATAAGCACCCTCTCTAAAGCGATAAGATGTCTTCAGTTGATGTTGGTTAGTGTGGTTTCTCTAAAAGCGTAATCTACTCTCAGTCACTTTTGGAAGTTACATTTACCCTTCTGGGTCTTCAGGTTACTCTGTGAAAATTTTGGCACAAATACAGCTATTTCTACTCCACGAGAAGACTGAACAAATACAACAATAACATTGTAACACATGATTTCTTTGTCACAGTAAATGGAAATGCAGTGGCTTGAAATATTCTAACTTGGCCAGTAAGCAATAATCCCTTTGACAAAACTGTATAATGTGATAGCTTTTGGATGTAACATTTGATCTTATTCAGAGAAGAGCCCTGAAAATTCACTCTATGCAGAGCTGTGCTAGGCATTGTATGAGGTCAGTTAAATAAACATGGGTTCTTTCTCCTAAGAGTTTATTTGGCATTTTTCAATGCATGGTGAATCAAAAAAGGTCTGGCTGGACTCAACCATGCCAGCTACAGGTGCAATTACAGGCACTTATTCTCACTATCCATTAAAAGAAAACAACAGATTAAGATCTTGGGAGATTGTATTGCATTTCAGACTAAACATATCTATGTAGAATTCATTCAAGTACCTATTATCCATGAGGGGTTGAGGTTTTCATGAGTTAAATATAAAGTTACTAAATGCAAGAGTTAATTCTGGGCCTAAAGAGGTTCATTTTACTTCTACAGACATGAAAAGCTTTCTCACCCATGCATGTTTCTGTGATGTCTACTTTATTTTCAGGGACTCTAAGTCCTTGGCAAATTGCATCCTATAAAGCTCCATTTTAAGCAATGTTAAAGTTATCACACTATTTTGTAAAGCCTCTAACATTATACTTTTCTGCAGAAATTCTTAAAAATTTATTTGATATTAATTCCCCTGCCTGAACAGAAATTAAGAAATACAGCCAAACAGGGTAGTCACTGCTCCTTAGTGAAGGGAGCTAGTGAAGAAGCTTGGATGAGAAATGCTGAAAGGGACCCACCCAAGGGGACATTCCTCCTTAGAGCACAGCCTATTAAAGCTTACTCAGCGTTTCCTCTGGGCCAGCAAGAGCTGGGTTTTTTTTCTAAGTAAGGGAGGTTATGTTTGGGGTGAGGAAGGGGATAGGATTGCTTTCCATTTTCCTAAGAAAAAAAGCTGAGATGGTTTGGGAAAAAGGCTTCATTCATGGGAGGCATTTACGAGCTCATAATTTCTGTCTGTAATTACATTCATGATAATGATATTCAGTTGCTTCATTGGCAGTTTGATTGGTTGGGGACACTACTGGGAAACCTGGGGACTGAGCAGTCCTGGTTGGGTCATGAGAAAACTCAAGAGGGATTTACTTAAGGCAGGCTCTTGATTCTCCCCCAAATGGGGAGGGGGCACATACAATATCCTGTTGCATTCCCAAGGAGGGATAAGACACCTACTATACCAGGCTCCTTAAATTCTGCCTACTGGGGGATGCTGTCATTGTGATGAACTATAAGTTACCTCCACACACATTTGCTTGGTGATAATGGCTTTGAGGAATTTCCTGTTATATCTATGTCTAATGCTTATATTCTTTGGCCCCCCCTAAAATGCATACCAATGGGATATATTTTTTAGAGGAATTAAAATCTCAAAAGGTTAAGTCAGTGATTCCCTACCTGTCACCACAGTCTCAGAATCACCTGCAGTATTAAAAAACACAGAAGACTAGGCTTGTTGAAGGAGGATGAGGCCTGGGCGTTTGTGTATTTACAAAGTTCTCCGGATGATTCTGGTACCCAATAGAGTTTGAGATGCACAGGGTTAAGAAGATCTAAGGTAAGAAGACAACTTATTTGGGGCGGCCAGTTAGCTCAGTTGGTTAAAGTGCAGTGCTCATAACACCAAGGTTGCCGGTTCCAACCCCACATGGGCAACTGAGATGCGCCCTTCACAACTAGATTGAAACAACGACTTGAACTTGGAGCTGATGAGTCCTGGAAAAACACACTGTTCCCCAATAAGAAATAATTTAAAAAAAAAAGAAAACAACTTATTGGCAGGTTTTGGATAGGGTGCTGGCTACTTCTTAGACTCTAATATTTTACACAGTCTTGGAGTAAACATGTATTATATTTAAAAATTCAACAGTTGTTTTGGAATCTACTGTGTAAAGCACTAAAAGACAGAAGTTAATTGGGTATCATCTTGTAGATTGTAGGTATGGATGTAAATAAATGCTCTCTCAAAAAGCCCGTTGTTCTGAGCATTATCTGGGCTACAATGTGCACTGCAGTAGAAATACATTTTTAAAAAAGGGGATTCTAGAAATGACCTATCTTGTTAGTGACATGAAGTATAAGTCCTTTGCTCTTTAATGGATCCCAGATAACATCTGGCTTTTAATACTTCATATTCTAGACGTCAAGACAATTAATCAATTTCATTAGTCAGTTATGATGCAAATTAATAAATAAGTAGAACCAAAGAAAATAACTAGATAGGGACATGTGAACTACCACTAAAATAACTAGATAAACATTAAGCCTGTGTGTCTCCAGGGAGTTTAGATTGGAATGATTGAGTTTACATTAGATGACCATAATTCTAGGGGCTTTGAATGACATAGCAGTGATCCAAAGGGTTCTTTTGCAAAAGAGAAACAAACGAAAATCTCATTAACATAACTACCTACAGCCTATCTCTGGAAATTTCATTAAAGATGATAGAAAATAAATCTGTCCATCAAAAAAGGGAAATTGTATCAAAATATTCAAGTATTTCAGGACACAGGAGCCAACTGATACCTTAGAAAAGCGCCAAGGCAGAGGAAGTAGGATTATGACAAAGGGGTTAGGGAGGGTCAGCTGTGTAGGCAAGGGCTTGCTGGCACTCATTATAAGAGTGTTCAGTTTCCATTAAAAGGCCACCAATTCTAGGTACTGAGACCCCAAACCATATTCTGTATTAGGAGGGTGTGTATCTAAAATGCTTTGCAAACTCAGGGGGTATGTAGAATTATCACTATATAGCATCAGGCTATTAAGTATGACGTCCCTAATTTCCATTTTAATTTTTTACTTTAACCCATAAGTTTTAGCTTTGTTGAATGCTCAGACTGTGTACATACCAACTGATTTTTATTTGTGGAGTCATGTGGAACAGGAGACTGATATTTGGATGAGCATTTACTATGGGGCAGCTACTGAGCTAGACACATTTATGCATTTTCGTGACCATCCCAGGAAGTACATAGTGGTATTCTGCTTCATTGACAAGAAACCTAAAATTCAGAGAAGCTCTTCATCTGATCTTTCATATCTTTTGTACTGTTAACAGATATGTTATCATGATTTGACTTAATTTAATGAGTAGCCATTGGCCTATTTTTTTTTTTTAAGATTTTATTGGGGAATTGGGGGAGGGGAACAGTCAAGAAGTTGTCCTTCAATCTTAGTTGTGGAGGGTGCAGCTATCTCAGCTTCAAGTCCAGTCACCATCCGGCCGCCCATCGGCAGCTCAGGGCAGCTCAGCTCAAGGTGCTGTGTTCAATCTTAGTTGCGGGTGGGCATCCCATGCGGGTGTCGAACCGGCAACCTTATTGTTAGGAGCACATGCTCTCACCAGCTGAGCCATCCTGCCACCTGTTGTCAGCTCAGCGGCAGCTCAGCTCAGGCGCAACATCACTGGCCCATGTGGGAATCCAACCCATGACCCTGTTGCTCAGAGTTTGAGCTCTTAACCAACTGAGCCACTCAGCCAGCCCCAGCCATTGGCCTATTAATAGCCATCACTTGATTAGTACTTTGGAAGTTCTTTATTAACTATATTTATTGTCTTATTCAAATTTTCCAGTTATTGTCTTGAGTTTTTCATTTGTATTCCAACTGGTCTCCTGCTTCCACTCTCAGCCACCTATAATCCATTGTCCGCAGAGCAGGCAGAGTGAGTTTTTAAAAATATACCTCGGAGCATATTTCTCCGCGGCTTATAATCTTCTGATGACTTTCCATTAATATTGGCATAAAGTCCTAAGGCCCAGGGACTTACCCTTCCTGTCCAGCTGAGCCCCTCTCCATGGCTTGCCCTTGCGCTCTGCTCTCTGGCAGCACGGGCTTCTTCTCGCCTGGAAGGCTCATTCCCACCACAGTGTCTTTGCAGAAGCTCTGCCCTATACCTGTAGCACCCACCCCTTTCCCAGCCCTTAGATAGCCACCTCCGGATGGACCAAGAGCAGTTACCAGGATCTAGTCCCTCTTCCCCTGTGACATGAAGGTCGATTTCCCCTTTGAAGGAGCCTATCAGGGTTACATTTCTCTATGAAGGTAATTGGACATGAAAAACGTAATGGACTGGATACTGGATGGCCCTGGGGAAGGCTGTTTTAGTGAAGGGAAGAGAGGAGGAAGTTGGGAGATCTGAGCCCCAGCTCTTCCCTGT